TTTCATAACTAGCGCGTTAATATATGGCTAGCAAGTTATTTCATAACTAGCGCGTTAATATATGGCTAGCATGTTATTTCATAACTAGCGCGTTAATATATGGCTAGCAATTATTTCATAACTAGCGCGTTAATATATGGCTAGCAAGTTATTTCATAACTAGCGCGTTAATATATGGCTAGCATGTTATTTCATAACTAGCGCGTTAATATATGGCTAGCAAGTTATTTCATAACTAGCGCGTTAATATATGGCTAGCATGTTATTTCATAACTAGCGCGTTAATATATGGCTAGCATGTTATTTCATAACTAGCGCGTTAATATATGGCTAGCATGTTATTTCATAACTAGCGCGTTAATATATGGCTAGCATGTTATTTCATAACTAGCGCGTTAATATATGGCTAGCAAGTTATTTCATAACTAGCGCGTTAATATATGGCTAGCATGTTATTTCATAACTAGCGCGTTAATATATGGCTAGCAAGTTATTTCATAACTAGCGCGTTAATATATGGCTAGCAAGTTATTTCATAACTAGCGCGTTAATATATGGCTAGCAAGTTATTTCATAACTAGCGCGTTAATATATGGCTAGCATGTTATTTCATAACTAGCGCGTTAATATATGGCTAGCATGTTATTTCATAACTAGCGCGTTAATATATGGCTAGCATGTTATTTCATAACTAGCGCGTTAATATATGGCTAGCATGTTATTTCATAACTAGCGCGTTAATATATGGCTAGCATGTTATTTCATAACTAGCGCGTTAATATATGGCTAGCATGTTATTTCATAACTAGCGCGTTAATATATGGCTAGCATGTTATTTCATAACTAGCGCGTTAATATATGGCTAGCATGTTATTTCATAACTAGCGCGTTAATATATGGCTAGCATGTTATTTCATAACTAGCGCGTTAATATATGGCTAGCAAGTTATTTCATAACTAGCGCGTTAATATATGGCTAGCAAGTTATTTCATAACTAGCGCGTTAATATATGGCTAGCAAGTTATTTCATAACTAGCGCGTTAATATATGGCTAGCATGTTATTTCATAACTAGCGCGTTAATATATGGCTAGCAAGTTATTTCATAACTAGCGCGTTAATATATGGCTAGCATGTTATTTCATAACTAGCGCGTTAATATATGGCTAGCAAGTTATTTCATAACTAGCGCGTTAATATATGGCTAGCATGTTATTTCATAACTAGCGCGTTAATATATGGCTAGCAAGTTATTTCATAACTAGCGCGTTAATATATGGCTAGCAAGTTATTTCATAACTAGCGCGTTAATATATGGCTAGCAAGTTATTTCATAACTAGCGCGTTAATATATGGCTAGCATGTTATTTCATAACTAGCGCGTTAATATATGGCTAGCAAGTTATTTCATAACTAGCGCGTTAATATATGGCTAGCATGTTATTTCATAACTAGCGCGTTAATATATGGCTAGCATGTTATTTCATAACTAGCGCGTTAATATATGGCTAGCATGTTATTTCATAACTAGCGCGTTAATATATGGCTAGCATGTTATTTCATAACTAGCGCGTTAATATATGGCTAGCAAGTTATTTCATAACTAGCGCGTTAATATATGGCTAGCATGTTATTTCATAACTAGCGCGTTAATATATGGCTAGCAAGTTATTTCATAACTAGCGCGTTAATATATGGCTAGCATGTTATTTCATAACTAGCGCGTTAATATATGGCTAGCAAGTTATTTCATAACTAGCGCGTTAATATATGGCTAGCAAGTTATTTCATAACTAGCGCGTTAATATATGGCTAGCATGTTATTTCATAACTAGCGCGTTAATATATGGCTAGCAAGTTATTTCATAACTAGCGCGTTAATATATGGCTAGCAAGTTATTTCATAACTAGCGCGTTAATATATGGCTAGCATGTTATTTCATAACTAGCGCGTTAATATATGGCTAGCATGTTATTTCATAACTAGCGCGTTAATATATGGCTAGCAAGTTATTTCATAACTAGCGCGTTAATATATGGCTAGCATGTTATTTCATAACTAGCGCGTTAATATATGGCTAGCAAGTTATTTCATAACTAGCGCGTTAATATATGGCTAGCAAGTTATTTCATAACTAGCGCGTTAATATATGGCTAGCAAGTTATTTCATAACTAGCGCGTTAATATATGGCTAGCAAGTTATTTCATAACTAGCGCGTTAATATATGGCTAGCAAGTTATTTCATAACTAGCGCGTTAATATATGGCTAGCAAGTTATTTCATAACTAGCGCGTTAATATATGGCTAGCATGTTATTTCATAACTAGCGCGTTAATATATGGCTAGCAAGTTATTTCATAACTAGCGCGTTAATATATGGCTAGCAAGTTATTTCATAACTAGCGCGTTAATATATGGCTAGCATGTTATTTCATAACTAGCGCGTTAATATATGGCTAGCATGTTATTTCATAACTAGCGCGTTAATATATGGCTAGCAAGTTATTTCATAACTAGCGCGTTAATATATGGCTAGCAAGTTATTTCATAACTAGCGCGTTAATATATGGCTAGCATGTTATTTCATAACTAGCGCGTTAATATATGGCTAGCAAGTTATTTCATAACTAGCGCGTTAATATATGGCTAGCAGTTATTTCATAACTAGCGCGTTAATATATGGCTAGCAAGTTATTTCATAACTAGCGCGTTAATATATGGCTAGCATGTTATTTCATAACTAGCGCGTTAATATATGGCTAGCAAGTTATTTCATAACTAGCGCGTTAATATATGGCTAGCAAGTTATTTCATAACTAGCGCGTTAATATATGGCTAGCATGTTATTTCATAACTAGCGCGTTAATATATGGCTAGCAAGTTATTTCATAACTAGCGCGTTAATATATGGCTAGCAAGTTATTTCATAACTAGCGCGTTAATATATGGCTAGCAAGTTATTTCATAACTAGCGCGTTAATATATGGCTAGCATGTTATTTCATAACTAGCGCGTTAATATATGGCTAGCAAGTTATTTCATAACTAGCGCGTTAATATATGGCTAGCAAGTTATTTCATAACTAGCGCGTTAATATATGGCTAGCAAGTTATTTCATAACTAGCGCGTTAATATATGGCTAGCAAGTTATTTCATAACTAGCGCGTTAATATATGGCTAGCATGTTATTTCATAACTAGCGCGTTAATATATGGCTAGCAAGTTATTTCATAACTAGCGCGTTAATATATGGCTAGCAAGTTATTTCATAACTAGCGCGTTAATATATGGCTAGCATGTTATTTCATAACTAGCGCGTTAATATATGGCTAGCAAGTTATTTCATAACTAGCGCGTTAATATATGGCTAGCAAGTTATTTCATAACTAGCGCGTTAATATATGGCTAGCATGTTATTTCATAACTAGCGCGTTAATATATGGCTAGCATGTTATTTCATAACTAGCGCGTTAATATATGGCTAGCATGTTATTTCATACTTAGCGCGTTAATATATGGCTAGCAAGTTATTTCATAACTAGCGCGTTAATATATGGCTAGCAAGTAATTTCATAACTAGCGCGTTAATATATGGCTAGCATGTTATTTCATAACTAGCGCGTTAATATATGGCTAGCAAGTTATTTCATAACTAGCGCGTTAATATATGGCTAGCAAGTTATTTCATAACTAGCGCGTTAATATATGGCTAGCATGTTATTTCATAACTAGCGCGTTAATATATGGCTAGCAATGTTATTTCACAACTAGCACGTTAATATATGGCTAGCAAGTTATTTCATAACTAGCGCGTTAATATATGGCTAGCAAGTATTTCATAACTAGCGCGTTAATATATGGCTAGCATGTTATTTCATAACTAGCGCGTTAATATATGGCTAGCAAGTTATTTCATAACTAGCGCGTTAATATATGGCTAGCATGTTATTTCATAACTAGCGCGTTAATATATGGCTAGCAAGTTATTTCATAACTAGCGCGTTAATATATGGCTAGCAAGTTATTTCATAACTAGCGCGTTAATATATGGCTAGCATGTTATTTCATAACTAGCGCGTTAATATATGGCTAGCAAGTTATTTCATAACTAGCGCGTTAATATATGGCTAGCAAGTTATTTCATAACTAGCGCGTTAATATATGGCTAGCAAGTTATTTCATAACTAGCGCGTTAATATATGGCTAGCAAGTTATTTCATAACTAGCGCGTTAATATATGGCTAGCATGTTATTTCATAACTAGCGCGTTAATATATGGCTAGCAAGCAATTTCATAACTAGCGCGTTAATATATGGCTAGCAAGTTATTTCATAACTAGCGCGTTAATATATGGCTAGCATGTTATTTCATAACTAGCGCGTTAATATATGGCTAGCAAGTTATTTCATACTAGCGCGTTAATATATGGCTAGCAAGTTATTTCATAACTAGCGCGTTAATATATGGCTAGCATGTTATTTCATAACTAGCGCATTAATATATGGCTAGCATGTTATTTCATAACTAGCGCGTTAATATATGGCTAGCATGTTATTTCATAACTAGCGCGTTAATATATGGCTAGCAAGTATTTCATAACTAGCGCATTAATATATGGCTAGCAAGCTATTTCATAACTAGCGCGTTAATATATGGCTAGCATGTTATTTCATAACTAGCGCATTAATATATGGCTAGCAAGTATTTCATAACTAGCGCATTAATATATGGCTAGCAAGTTATTTCATAACTAGCGCGTTAATATATGGCTAGCATGTTATTTCATAACTAGCGCATTAATATTTGGCTAGCAAGCAATTTCATATCTAGCGCCTTAATATATGGCTAGCATATTATTTCATAACTAGCGTGTTAATATATTGCTAGCATGTTATTTCATAACTAGCGCGTTAATATATGGCTAGCAAGTTTTTTCACCGCTAGCGGGTTAAAATATATGATGACACATATGTGTCACATAGATGTAATTTGATGGGGTAAAACAGTCAGTTCTGTCTAAAATAGAGTATTCTATCTGAATAAATTATAGGTCTCCTGAAATGTAGGATTAAAGCCAATGGAGTGATATGGTAACTACTGATAGCAGGTAAGAGCATTTAATTTTTCAACATGGTTTATTTTTAGATTTCTTCTTTGGAGCTACTCCTTTTTTGATGGATACCATCATTTTTAGATAAATTCTTGTTTTGTATAAAGTGAAACAGGCATTCAGTTTTATGTAAAAATATTTTAAATGTCTTTATAATCTCCTTAAACAATGCATTGCTAATGTAACGTGCTCTCGTCCAGCCACACATAGGTCTAAGGTCAGTATGTCCAATGCCAGTTGTTGGCTAGAAGGGTGTAAAGGGCTGTGGAGCTGTATTTTCTGGAGTGATGACATTCCATCCAATATCTTTGGGTTTAGTCAATTTGTGATCCAACGCTAGTCATGAACTCGCTAATGCTCGAGTTCACTGAGCCATAAATTTATTTATTTTTTACTTGTTTGAAGCGAAATTTCTTTAAATGTATCAAAATCCTCCATTTAACTTGACCCCATTAAACTTTTTCATCTCCAGTGTTGCGAGATGTCAAACATTACAGAAGTATTGCTGAATACTCTTCAGAACCTGTTGGAAATGGACCTGAAATCATTCCAGTGGCATCTGATCAATGGTGTGGATAACTGCATCCCAAAGGGCCTGCTGGAGAAGGCAGATAGACATGACACTGTGGATCAGATCGTACAAAGATATGGACACAGTGAAGCTGTAGAGATAACACTGGATATCCTGAAGAAGATAAACCAAAACCAACTGGCGGAGGAACTGATGACCAAGCTGAGAAAGGGTAATGGAGCTGATATCATATTCACTGTTTAAACTCTCTTTCACTTACAACCCTGTTTCCAAAAACGGGGGGATGTTTGCAGTGTGTAAATAAAAACAGAATAACATGATGGGCAAATAATTTAAACCTTATACTTAGTTGAAAATAGTACAAAGACAACATATCAAATGTTGAAACTGAAACATTGTATTGGTTTTGAAAAATGGCAGCATTAATTATGGAACTGATAACATACACGTTTGTACAACATTACTGTAGTTTTAGTTTAGTTTTGTATTTTAAAATTACAGACACGACACTGTAAAAAGTCCTATATAAACACATTATAGAACATTTCAACAGTTCCAATTTATTCCTGTAATAAATAAATGAAATCCTGTAATGGAATGGTAATAATCCCTGATGTTAGCATTTTTCAAGTCATTATGTTGTGAATGGCGTTCTTTTTGAAAGACAGCTACAGCTAGAGTTGTGGTAAAAGTAATTGATTTTAAGGTGCCTGAATATTATATATGTTGTATTTCGTGCACTGATGTTCTTTCTCAGGTAGAGACAGATGTGAAGAGATACCTGGAAAGCGTGCAGCAGTGTCCTCCACTGCAGTTCAGACTGGAGACTCAGTTAGTGCTCTCACTACAGGTAATCACTTCACTTCACTTCATGTCATTATATATTCAATATATATGACATAGACTTGACTATATATTTAAATATGTATTAAATCCAAGATGCAATGTATAACTTATCTAAGTTCCTCCTGTATGAAGAGCACACTCTACAAACCCAATTGCTAAAATGTTGGGACAGTAGGTAAAATGCAAATAAAAACAGAAAGCAGTGATTTGTTAACTGATTTTTGCAGATATTTAACTGAAAACAGCACAAAGAACAGATATGTTAATATCTTCTTATATGTTGCTAAATCCAAATTTGATGCCTGC